TTTTTTTTGGCATTTTAAATAAACGTTGCTGATTAAATATTAGGTTCGCAATTGGTTGGTATCCTTTGATGACAAACTTGCTGCGTAGCAAACTAAGCTAATTAATCGGGTTTATAAAGAGGGGCTAATTTCGCTTTGAAGTTTAAAATACACGGTTGTAGTAATTGGGAGGTCACTCAGCAGAGCACATGGACATCGGATTTACAGGCTTCCGGCCCAGAGCTGGGATTACGGACCTAGCACAAAGTGGAAGCGTTATTATGTATGCTCCTAAACTAACGTTCAATTAATTTTCAGTCCCCTTTCTTGGATCAGTGTTCCACGCGGCTGTATTTGTTTCCTATCGTGTCTTCTGTGCAGTGTGTAAGTGTTCACATCTTGGGTACACTTTGACGGAAGAGGTCTAATTTCTCCCTTGGGCACAATCTTGGCTAAGAATTTCATTGAGAACCTCTGTTTATTACGGTGCCAACAGTAACGAATCTCAGATATTGTAATGCAAAATGCTTCGCTGGGCAGAACACTCCCGTACGGCCTTATTAATAAAACAATAGAAAAAATTGGTAATATATTTTCCAAATTCGTTCTTTGCGTGGCAACTGGATCTGAACGTTGTTAGAATCTTTGCTTATGTTTGGTTCGTGGGATATTTATAGATGCTGTAAGACGTGCAGGGGCTATTTAGGGCGTATTTTTATAACTTTGACGGGGTATTCGAAAGGACTGTTATGTAAGCAGTCGTATCCAGTTTGAAAGAACCGTCTCGGTCAGGGTAGATGCTTCACAGGAATTACGTCGTTTTTTATGGTATCCGAAAGTTGCTTTACTTTTACACAATAGCCCGCCTTGAGCCAGTTGTATCTAATCCACATCCTTGCATCCTATTTCCTGTAAAAACCCGCAATAATATTATCTTTCAAGTGTTTTTTTTCTTTGGGGCATTCCATTTAAAATTTCGTGAATCGAATTTTAAAATTTCCAATTCTACAAGGCAGTGTTTGAAAACGTAGCCTGGTTTGCTCTTTGCATTCCAAGAAACTAATAAACTCATCATCTTTCGGATGAAGGTTGGTGAGTTACACTCGTCTGAAATTTCGTGATTTAGTACCGTCACGACAAAATCCTTATCGACGAATCTTGTCCCGTCACCCTTACAAGAAATGGGCATAGCGACAGGGGGTTCCAGGGGTGAGATGCAGCTCAAGAGAACGCCCGAGCCACTTAAACATGGCGCCCCTCCCCCACCCCACTACATTGTCGTCGTCATAAATCTCTGCATGCAGCCTGCTCTCACATTCGCTCTGCGTCGTTTTTGTGCGCCCTCCGTCCTACTGAAGCTAATGGACATTTGTTTCAACCCACGGCCTGTTTTCGTAACACGATAAAAAATAAATATTGCGTATGTAAACGTTTTTCGTATATGGAAACTAGGAAGAAATTAAGACCTTCCAGCCGTCATTCGATTTTTAAATAAATTCTTCTAAAAGCTTCCATTTAGAAAAGCAAATTTTACAGTAGTTTTTACTTTCCATTCTCGGGCCCAGAAGACGGATAGAAATTTGCATTGTCAGAATGTTAGATTCACTTAAACATGAAATAAGCAAATCATCACCTAGAAAGTCTACTTATCTCGAACATTTACCTGTGCCATTTAAAACGTATGCGAAGTTTGTTTGGAAACAGACAAAAACGAATCGGTTACAATATTAAGACCACTCGCTATTGGTGAACAGATGTGACTCTGGTTTTTATTCTCAAGAGATGGCAGCACGCTAGGGAATTACATATGGAGTTAGGGGTTTTCCCGCAGCTGGGGGACGTAGAAATGGGTTCGTAACTTTCCCAGTGGAGGTTGTGTGTCACCCAGAGGGGAGAATCCCTTTTCCAGCACTCTCAATAAATCTGTCGGGGACAAGTGGCGCTGAAAGATGGCGATGGAACTTGTTCCACGATCGATGGCGCTGGAACAAATGAGCATCGACCTGTAAATTATGGGAGCCGTTAATAAGGGAGGCTTATAAAAGCAGAAGGGTAGTGCTCATTGCCCGTCAATCTAACGGTTTTGTTATTTGCAATAATAAACAGTATTGGTGTCGTCATCAGCAGTTTTAATCCTTTTTTCCCCTGTGCCCCTACATTTCATTTCTGTCCCCTTTCGTTCCTTTCTCATATTTTCTTCCTAGTTTCTTTCATTCACCTGTTTACATTATTTCTTTTCATCTTTTTTTCTTATTTCCTACCCATTTTCTTAATTTCGTATCTGGACCCTGCTTTATTCTGGCAGATCTTTCATGTTCAGTTTTGTCTGTGTTCGTTTGTTTTATTTCTTCTCTCCCAAAATCATACAAAGCAAAAAAAAAGTAAAGTTGCCCCACTGTACGCCTTGTCATTTGACAGTTCGTGACGTAATGTGAGCACCCCGATAAGGCGAAGCTTTGACGCTTAATGACTGGCTCATCTTATACCACAATACAGATAGGTCGTTCTTCATAAAGCTCTTTCAAATGACATTTCACCAACATTTATTTCTTTGCCCCATGCAAATGTTAACAGTCCTTTGCCATTGCTCAAGCGTATGTCACGTATTCATCTGCAAGCTGTCATCCACAAGAATTGCCTCTAATGACTTGTTCCGATTTTATCTTTCTTTCCACGTTTTGTCTCTGCAAGATGATGTTACCAGGCCCCTTGGGCCGTCTGCTTTTTCTCCTCACAGCCTTTCATCTAAACTATTTGAGTTCGTTTATAGCACTACGAGCTAGTTAATAATCACCACCCAATAATTGTGCTCTGACGAACTACGAATAATTTCTGCATTAGTATTTAGTAAATTATAACCACTCATTCCTGATCTTCTGTTACTCACAACTGAGAATTCTTTCCATTCGCTTCTCTGGCTTCACTTTTTTATTAATTTAATATTACTGTCCTGTTGAAAACCTTTTTATCCTTCAGATTTCTAACATTGTTCATCGTTGAAAGTTCAAAGGCGAGGAGGACCCTGTTTTGTTCACGGACCTTTCGCCAGTAGGAAGAGCACGTCAATTTTTGCATGAACCGGTGACTTTCGTAATGAAATAAAACATGTTGCGTCTTCTTTTGTTTCAAATTCCCAAACCCCAATGCTTTGAAGGCCACCCTTCCTCCTTGGCTGTTGAGTGGTTTCTCTGACGACGAACGAGTCCCTTCGGAAGATTGAGATGAATGATTTAAGGAGTTGTCAACCTGGATCGGCTGTTCACTGAACAAGAAAACTAACTCTGGATAATGAAGTTTCGGAGGGTGAAGAAGTAAGGAATTGCGTTTTTTTTCCCCTCCTTTTCTTCAAATTCTTGAGGATGTACTGGAAGAATGGGGGACCGTTATTGGTAATTGTGCTGGTATGTTCGTGTGTCTGAGGTGAATGTAACGATCGACAGACCATAAGATTCTTACATATTTCAGTGTTCATTTCGTGCGTAACCGCGTAAGCTATATCCAGGTAAGGATTTTAGAACTTGTAATTTCTATCCCTGCTATTCTTCCTTTGTCTTTATCTGACTTCATGTTTTACCATTTGCAAACCTTTACGGTCACTGGCTTCTTAACTCTTCGCCCGATGATGGAGGCAGCAAGGACTTCTGAAATGTTTGTAAAATTTACCACACTACAAGACGCTACAAACCACAGAACAGCCATCTTCGTAATTGCCGCACAAGAATGAAAGTAAAATCTAAAGTAATAAACTCACATTTATAAATATTGTCCCATATTGATCACCAATCAACCAAGCTACCACCCGATCTTTTAAGAATAATTGTACTACTTGTGACGCTAGGTTTTAAATCCCATTTCTGTCGACTGAGATGCCTTCCTGTCTGTACCTTATCGTCCCTTTGAAGTTCTTAACAGAACGTTATGCCATCACTGTATCGACTGATGCTACAAGGATCTGGGTTGTGTTGGGAGCAGGTTGTGATAAACTGTTCAAGGTTACCTGTCCCACCACTGCATTCCTCAGCCAGACCCAATAGCCAGCAATGTGCTACCTGCAGCAACACGAGAATTCTTAAGTCAGATCACACAGCGATTTTGAGTTCCTCAGCTCCACATTGAATTATTTCTTCATTCGTTCTTGTGTGGATAAGAAATTGATATTAAGTTTCTTTTATCTTTCTGATAAATTATTCTGTTATGGATTGTGGTCTTCTGGGTTGTGATGCTGTGTGATTATCAGCTTTTCGGAGGGACGTATTGTCATAATTTTCAGGGTTGTGAGGCGATACGTTCTGGTAACCACCTGCAAGATTACACAGCATCACAACTCAGGAGATCACAGTTGGCTGAATCAGAGGTCGGGTGGAAAGTAGCACAGACACATACTAAATTCTGAATACCCATTCTGACATTTGAACGCCGGTCGGAAACCTTGTAATTAGTCACGTTATTGGCTGTAAAATTGCTAAAATGTCAGATCCAACTGATTCGTGTCAGGGTCCAGTGGCGGGCGTATGAGAACACGGTGTTGGATCTTTTGTTTCCATTAAAAGACGGCAGTTGTTTTGACCATCTGAGTGACTCTCAGCTTCTCAAAAGGCTCTGCCCCCTGTAGGTACGTAGTTTGTTGATTTGTCCAGTTTTCACATGAGGTCTGTCTGAAGTGTGATGTGAAGATGTGTTGGAAAAAGTCAGGTTTCACTCTATTCCCAAAAAATCACTGCCTTCTTGCCTATTTCTGTGTAACATTAAACACAGACAGCTACATCGTTTGAAATGCCTCTCGTTATTCAAAACAATCTTTTCGTTGGTGTGAGGTTAAAGAGCGAGACCTGATGCTTCTTCCAGGATACGAATTTCTTGTTACATCCATGGGAAACAATACCTTGGCTTAAGCTATCACAGCGACTGAATGCAGTGAAATCTTATTGGGCGATCAGCCTTGTTACTATGGAGTGAATTCCCGACGTTTCGGAGACTGCCTCTGTTTTCATCATTAAGCGTACTTGTTCTCGGCGTTGCAGTGCGAGGAGGGCCTGTCGAGTGGCGATATCTGCGTGTTCGCGTCGCGCGCTGGGCCCAACACCTGCTGGCACCCGGCGTGCTTCACGTGTTGCGTCTGCAAGGAGCTGCTCGTGGATCTCATCTACTTCTACCGGGAGGGTAAGCTGTACTGTGGACGACACCACGCCGAGACGCTGAAGCCCCGGTGCTCCGCCTGCGACGAGGTGAGTACCCCAGTTCCACGGAGTAGCTGATGGCCATTCAGCTGGTCAAGAAATTTCCCACTTTTCATGGAGTCTGAGGTTCGTTACTGTGTTCATAGGAGCCAGCCAGTGGTCCGTATCCTGTGCCACATGAATCCATCCTTCACTCTTTCTCTCTTGACTTACGTCATTGGCCGTGAAGTCCTGCGACGTAGTGAACTACTTTTCCGCCAAGTGGCGTTGCCCAGGGTGCGCCCAATGGTGGCGAGTTCACATTGCACCCGCAATGATATAAATTACTCTGATTTGAACTGAACGCCCTTCTGGATTTCTTGATCTTGCCTGAATACTTCTGGGTTTCATAGCCTCGGCTAACTATCTTTCTGAATGCTGAAACTTCAAGTAGTACATTCATGAGTGCTATGACCTTACTGAACACCTACATTAGTGTCATGATATAACACAAACATTACCCTGGATGCTGTAGACTAACCCAAAGCTTTCTGGGTACTTTACCCTTGCCTCATCCACAGTCATTGATGAGTATGCTGGCTGAAATAAATACGAAAAAATTTTGTCTTCCATATAATACCACCTTGAAGATTCCAGTGATGTGGACATTGCAAGTTCTAGTCTTCTGTTACAGATCATCCTGGCTGACGAGTGTACCGAGGCAGAGGGCCGTGCCTGGCACATGAAACACTTTGCGTGTTTCGAATGTGACCGGCAACTCGGAGGGCAACGTTACATTATGCGGGATGGCAGGCCTTACTGTCTGCACTGCTTCGATGCGATGTTTGCAGAGTATTGCGACTCGTGTGGGGAACCCATCGGTGTGGACCAAGGTACCTTATTTATGAATTTTCTGTCTTCCATATTAAGTGGATCCCTTATGAGAGCAGCAGTACATCTTCAGGTTGTAAATGGAAAAGAAGAGAAGAGACAGTCTCCAGTTTTCACTGCATATATTAAATAACTGTGGACAGCGAACACGGGTTGGTGCTGTAGCTAATAACTTTCACTCGAAGTGTCCATGTTATGGTGCAGGTCAGATGAGCCACGAGGGACAGCACTGGCATGCCACGGAGCAGTGTTTCTGCTGTCATACCTGTCGGTCCTCCCTGCTGGGCCGGCCCTTCCTGCCACGTCGAGGCGCCATCTACTGTTCCATAGCATGCAGTAAAGGAGAGCCCCCGACACCATCCGACAGCTCGGGCCCAGGCCCTCGACTCAGCCACGGCGCCCTGAGACAGCAGCGCCACCAGAGAGCTAGGCCACCGTCAGAAGCAGGCTCAAGCACACCACCGAACTCACCTGGGCAAGGACGAAGAACGCTAGGTTTACCAGGTTCACCTGCCTCCTCATCTGCACCATCGTCACCTCCTGGTCAGCTCCAGTGTGGAAAGTACAGCCGAAACTATAGGTATGTCTCGTATTTAAAGCAGTGTGTTCCTTGTACATGAATATAGAATACTTTCATAATTTGTAAAGTGAAACGTGAACTTCATCGCATATTTTTACGCTGTGGCAATAAGAACTCGTGTCTTTGCTTTCAGTTTACCTCATCAACCACCGCTACCTGTCACACAATCTCAGCAACATCAGCAAGTCCTGAGAAGTCCCCCTCCAGTTCGATCTCCAAAGATGGGGCGCCGGGCACTTCAGCGAGGCTCTAACAAATCCCTTCCTCCTACTCCACCATCTACAGATCCTCCTCCACCACCACCACCACCTCCTCCTCCGCTGCCCATGGTACAGAGTGACATAACCTTATTGCAGACTGAGGATTATGTTGTGAGAGGCCTTCCCCCCATTCCAAGCAGCAGCCACGGTGGAAATCTGCAGGCGCTTTCTCAGCAAGCAACGGGATCTTCACAAGTGAATATCACCTCTTCGCCGTGCAGTAAAGGCCTGGATCGGGTTCTTCTAGAGCGGAACCTGGAACGTCTGCTCTCGGAGCATGGGAGCAGTATTGCAATGGCAACTGAGATACAAGCAGCCAGTCCAGAGCTGGAGAGACTTCTTCAGGCTAGGGACCGTAGTCGGGAGCCCCTCCACCTCGCCGATCTTAACCTGAGCCTCGATTCCTGGCAGCCTCCCTCTCTTACATCCCACCCCCACACGAATAATATAAGTGGTACCGCTAGCAGTACTCATAACTGTAATGAAAGTCTTTACGGGCATGCGTCATCGATGCCAGAGTTGGCAGCTCATCAGACAACACCACAACATCACGTTCAACCTCCCGCGACACCGACATCGCCATTACGCAAAGCGAAAGGGAAAGGACAGCTGAGTGTCAGGTTCGAGAGTGATCGTTGTGATGAGGATAACGTCGTTGATGTGGGAGACGATGAAGCGTGTGGCCCACCGAGGCAAAGGACTTTCCCGCGCAGTCGTAGTTACTCTGGACGTTCGAGGCATCGAGGATTTGACGAGGAATATGAAGAGAGAAGAGCTCGTTCGAGAGGTCCCAGGAAAACAACTTCAGAGAGCCATGTACCTGGTGGTAGCAGGGACAGTAGGGAACACAGGGATACAAATAGGGATGATGCAGATAGTTATTGTTCGACTTGTTCATCCAGTTCAAGCAGTGATGATTATGCATACGAACTTCCACCCAGAAGGGCTTATGGAGGCGTTAGAATTTCTTATGTGCCGAACGATGCTTTAGCTTGCGCGAGACGACAACAGTCAGCGGCAGCTTCAGCTTCAGGTGGTCTAAGGTCACCGACGAAGAAGGCAGGTGGTAGCAGTACAGGAGAAGATAAAGACAAAAATTGTATTATTTCCTGATCAACGCTGTTCTTAACTCAACATATATTTCGAACAATCAATGGAAGAATTCAGTTGGGTATAAAATTCCCTCAAGAAAAGTCGAACAGACAAAAATAAATGAGCGGTTTGAAAGGAAAACTTTCTTTTTTACTCTCTCTAGATGCATATTGGAACTTTTTGGGCTAAATTTGTTTTTGTGTATGGATTCAAAATTATATATGAATAAGCTGCTGGGATATTTTACTTCTATTATTTTAATATCTTTCACCACCGAGGAGATATCGCCGATTCTTATAGCGTAATATTTTGATAGTAGGCATTCTTGGGAATAATCAAATTTAGGAATCTGAAATTTTGTGGTGAATGTTGGTAATTTATTTTCATTAAACATGTCTATAAAATTGATTTTGAACTTTTTTTTTTTAAATTTTAAAACGAAGTCGTGCAATTTTTAAATATTTCCCAGAGTCTTACGTTTATTTAGTGCATTATTGATTTTGTTAGATAAATGATTATTTTTCAGTAATCTAGTTTAATGCAATCATTATGCGCAGCCCATACACAAATATTAATAAGTTGTTTGACAATCTGCGAGATAATACCCATAACTTTCAGTGTGTAGGGTAATGTACTTTATTTTCCATGATGTAAAGTCAGATCAGAAAGTAATTCAAAGTATGAAGATTTCTGTCTTCTGGGTTGTTGCGCTGTGTAGTCTGGTCGATGTTTACCAACGTTTCATTGCCCTGATGACAGAGGCAGTATGACCTCTGAAACGTTGGCAAACATCGACCAGACTACACAGCGCAACAACCCAGAAGACAGAAATCTTCATACTCACCACCGTGAAAACCTCAAATCTTACATTCATTACCATATTCACTGAGCGGGAAAATATTTATAACAAATAGAAACTTTTAATGCGGAAACAAAAAGGCAAAACGAGAATTTAATTAAAAGTACAGAATTAAGACCTTTGATCAAGAAAATACAAGAAAAACATTAACGGCTCATTGGATAAACTATAAAAGAGAAAGATAACAGAAAACGTTTACTACTCATTAACGATGTATGCATTAGTATTAATTCCTGGCAAGAGATTCTGGCCGTAAATACATAGGGTGTTACTCTGCTGTATTTTTATCTGGAAATGAGCGCGTCTGCCGAGTTAAATCCAGTCCGAAGTGGAAGTACTTGTCAGCTCTCTTGAAATTATGTTATAAGCAGGTTTCTTACTGTATCAGGTATTTAGAGTATTCACAAATGCCTACTTTCTGATCTGATGATGTAAGTTACGGCAAGGGAAAACATTCCTTTGCTGATTTAACATGTGCCATTTTCTTCAAATAATGTTAATGTCTATAGTTTCCATGACTGGTACTAATACATTGTCTTCCAGTGACAACTCCTCGTACCTTGGTGCTTCTTCTGCTTTATTCAAATTAGTAGGTAAAGATGCAGAACTCAGACTGAACTCTGTGGTTGAAACACTGGAATATCTGTTTACAGAAATATAAAGTTGATTTGTAGATTGAAAGCAAGAAGTTGCCCCATTACAAGGCAAGATCAGTGATAGGGCTAAAGGTTTTCTATACAGGCTGCTTTCTTCTTCTTCTTCTTCTTCTTCTTCTATGCCTCTCCGGTCCGTATTCGGTCCATGGCCTCCTCAATTCTACTCTTCCATTTGGTCCTCTGTTAGGTCCTGATCGAGGTCTCGAAACATCTTCCTTTTTACAGTGCAAGGTTGTTAGCCTTGTGACCAACCCCCAACCTGGAGGACCAGGACACCTGTATTAGTCTGACCTCTCCCCCTTGACCAATCTGGCTAGGGAGGCCCTACCAGTAGCTACGCTACCGATACAGGCTTTGTATGCTAGTTTTTATTTTATCAGTACTCAGTATTTAGAGTCTCATCAATTTAAATAATATTTACTGCAAAAAAGACAAGAAAAACTTAAATATGAGGTATACTGGACAAGATCTCAAAATGTACATAAATATCTGTTTCTTTTTGAAATTTATCTGTAGGGCAGACAGAGAGTTGTGAATGCTCTACGATGCATTTATTCCTTTGTTAAAATAAGGATAAGACAGGTATTCCAGTTGAAATGACCTGAGTTATAATACTCTTTCCTCTCACAATTCCATGAAATACAGAAGTGGCTTTATAGCCTACAGTTGCTATGACTTCGGGATTTTAAAATGTTTTCTAGAATTCTTTTCAGATGAATTTTGGTATTTCCAGTAATAGATAATTTATACACCTGCAGTTGTTTCTGTCTTTATGTCTGTGCTGTGGATATTGCAGGATTCATCCCGTCTCGATACAGAGAAAATACGCATTGCCAGTATTTTATACTCCAGCCAAAATGCTTTATGTAATGAACAGTGTAATCATTATAATGTATTAATTTTGAAATAAGGCGATTAAAAATAATGTGAAACAATATACTGACATATATAAATTTTTGTATTGGAAATGTATGCAGTCAAAAGTTTTCAGAGATACAATAAATATGGCGTCGTTGTGAGACTGATATCGATTGATGAGTTATGTCCCTTTTATTTTGATTACATTGCATATTCAATTACATAAGTCCCTCCATATTTTATGTAAATGTAACAAAAAATGTAATGTATTACTCCAACAGAATGAATTATATTTCTTTCCTATCCTGAAACAGAATGGTTTTTGTTTAATGCAACTCACTTTTGTAAACTTTAAATATTTGAGGTTAAATTGTTGATGTTTCTCTCTTTTTTTTTAATTATTGTTCTTGAATTGTTACCTGGAATTCTCCAGCCTTGTTATAAATCATTACCTTATGTTATTATACTATTTATTATAATTAATATAAATAATCAGTGCTATAAACTAGTAAATTTATATTTACAGTCAGTTGAAGTATAAGTATAAATGTCAAAACTAGCATTTCTGCTGATGATAAAAACTATTTTTTATTCATAATCATGGATTTTCCTGTCAACATATCTTTCAGTTCATTCCATATAAAGTGAGAAGAAATTTTGAATGAATTTGGAGTGCAGCCATTCTGAACTGGCCGTTAGTATTTGTGTTACTAGTTTTGAGCGCTGATGGTGATAACAAGTTACAGGCTCCTGAATCCTACTGGGTAATTCGTGAATTGTAGTTATGTTAGATAACGTCACAAACTACTCTGTTAGTTGCCAAAGCCAAATGAACATACAAGCCTTGTATATGTGTTATATAGATGAATGAATTTAATGATATTTTTAAAAGTACAAGTAGGAGACTGTTATGTCTCCATTACTAATGTGAGCAAACAAATCCTCAGACAAACAAGTAAGGGCTCAATAGGCAGTCTTCACTCAAATAATTTGTTTTTTAATGTAATTAAGTCCTTGTTCCCCAATAAAGTGTTCTCTTCCAAAGATATTTTTTTAAGATTCATTTTAAGGTTATAAGAAGAATGTTAGTGTTGTGGCAGTTTACAGACTTGTGTATGCTTGTGTACAAATTGTAATATATAACTTTTTTTTTTGGAAATTGGGATTTGTAATCAAAATAAAATAGATTATTCATGAACATATTTTGTATTATAATAACCATTTCCAATCCCTGTGAAACATCTTTCTACATCCATGTTTTTCATAGATTACAGAATTTATGGTTATGAATGGCCTATGGTAGCCTGTCATTCACTTGAAGTGAATAAGCTACACTCACAACAAATTCTATCTCAAAATCAAGTTAGAAAGTGATCTATAGTATTCAGTTCCAGTCAGTTGCTATATTTCGTCAGTTTCATTATCATACAATACTCATAGTGTGCTGTTTGGAAGTAACATGTTTGCATGGCATTCATTACAGACAGAACAAAAAGATGTGATGAATGTATGTATAGTGTAACACTTATGTTGTATTTATTAATGCTAATGCTCAATGCTTTTTCATAAAACAGGCAGCTCAGGAGTTATATGAGATGTGGTAACATTGCATGAAAACGTTTTATGTTTAATTATCATAAAATTGTAAGATTCAGTAAAAAGTGTTCTGGTCATGATATATATTTCATTCTCTTCCATACCTTGTTTGAAACATTTTTTGCGTTGAAAAATATTTGCAAATTACGCTGAAGATGTGCACACGAACACATGTCAGCTACCACTTAAGAACTGTCCGTAAATTTCTACCAGATTTCACAACTAACCACTGAAAGTAAAAAGAACTCATCTTTAGTGGTAATATTTATTGTAAATTTACGTTTCTTTCCAATCAAATCTGGACATGTGTGCCATCTATTGAAGAGTTATAAGCATTTCAATTTTTGTGCTTGTGGGTGTTTGCTGCTAGGTGCGCTTCATAATGAGTAGAGTAGAGTCTGTGTATTCATTGTCTGTGATATTAGTCTTGTTGAGGTTAGGCGGTGTGAAAAAGTAGAGGAAACACGTAAGATTGTGATCATTAAAATGAGTTGTACGTTTTGTGTAAGTACTTTACCGAGATAATGTGCAGCAAAATTTGTCAATTGTTAATACAGTGAAGTGAATTTTTATCGTTCACGGGAATCAAGATACTACCTTAGCGTGACAGGTAAGACACTGTGAAGTTAACGTAATTTCAGTCAAGAAGTGTGAATAATTCCAAGATTGTTGTCATTCGTGATTCTAAGTCATTTTGTGTCAATTTCAGGGAGAAAAATGGTGAAAGTAAACGAAAGTAAGCAAGATGACCTGCATGGCCATTGGCCACAGTCGTCTCTACCCAGTGATGATGGATCTTTCGTTGTTCTGGGAAGATCCCCGCCCCAAGAACTAAATACTCAGTTTACATCTAATATGTCTCAACAGCCCACGGTTTGCCCAGCACCTCCACCGCATAATAGTTATCCTGGAAGTTTACCTCACTTGGAAAGCCAGGTATGTGTTTGTAGATTCTTAATTTTTACCCCAGCTTTTGTACTGTCTTTCGTTTCCAATATGAAGTTCCAAAAAAACTGTGACATACAAAGCATGAGCATGATCATGTTCCTCATCAGTCGACCACTAATCTGTCTAGTTATCAGAAAGGTGCTTGATATGCAGGGATAATATTGCTGACTTCCAGATAGTACTGAACGTGTAAATCATGATATGAAAGTATTTAAGATGGCATTGAAAGATTATATTTTATCTCACTCCTTACCTCAGTTGAAAATTATTGAATTTTGTGACTATTTATGTATGTAGTTATAATTTTGTTTTGGTATTTATCATACTGATGAGCTGGTGTAGCTCAGTCAGTATAGTTACTGGCTACGAACTAGACGACCGAGGTTCAATCCCCGATGGGGGCACAGGATTTTTCCTGTAGCCTCTGTGTCCAGACTGGCTCTGGGGCCGACCCAGCCTCATTGTTGGCTTCTACTATGAAGGATCTGTGTAAATACATTTTAATTCTAGTACTGTGTTCCAGTTTAATGAAATTTAGAGTCTTTCATCAAGTTCAGTCACCATGAAAGCTTCACTTTATGCATTAATGAAATGTAATTTATAGTACATGACTGCAGTACACAAAATTAGCGATACCCAATATTGATTTTATTTATGTTCTTTGTGTTTTAGACTTTGCAAAATTCCAGCTTTGTACCGGGTGTACCACCAACAGATTTAAGTCCAGAGGAAATTCAGAGAAAGCTTCATGAATTGCTACAAGAAAATCTGAAGCTCAAAGGTAGTTTTGGTGGTACAGTTCAGTGATGTTTGTTCTGTGGATGCCTGATGTCCTTGAATATGAACGTAATGTCCTGAAAGTGGCTTATTCTATTTTGAGGATGCTCATAGTGTTGTAGTTTAATGCATGCTATCCTGGTGCATTATAAATCACAAGATAAGCACATGACCTGTAAAGCTGTGTGTTTAAAATGTATGTTTGATATTGTCATCAATCTGAGGTGCTAGGTTATGATGACATCTTCTTCTATGGCTCTCCGGTCTGTATTTGGTCTATGGGCTCCTCGATTCTCCTCTTCTGTTCGGTCCTCTGTTAGGTCTGTCTGTCCCAGGCTTTGATTGAGGTTTCAAAACATCTTCCCTTTTACGGTGCAAGGTTGTTAGCCTTGCGACCAACCCCCAACCTGGAGGACCAGGGTACCTGTCTTAGTCTGACCTCTCCCCCTCGACCAATCTGGCTAGGGAGGCCCTACCAGTAACTATGCTACCGCCAGCATAGCTCTTGGGATACTCGAGCCCCACCACCACGACAAGGTGCAGGTACCATTAAGTGAGGTTATGTTGACGTCAGAAGTGGAAATCCATCACTTGTATGCATCATTTATTAAAAAATTATTATAGTCTCTATACAAGACTGGATTAATGACGAAACAACTGGAGGAGATTGTTATGATACAAAATAAGATTAGCCAATCTGTAGCGATATACACTTTGTATTTCTACGGTAACACTAAAAAACTGGAACTTGTAATGACCTTTTGTACTGACCGTGTGAGAAAATTATGGAGAATGTTGTTACATGTAGCAGTTAATCTAAAGTGGAATGCATTATTAGTAAAGTAAGTAAATTATGACTCACTTTCACTACCAGCTTTTAGTATGAATGTTACTGCGTCTCAGCTGAGTATGAGAATTCGGGATTGGTAAAATTTGACTGTACGCTGTTGCAAGAAAAAAATCCATGAAACAAGTCTTTCCTTGATACACTGCAGTATCACAGACAGACTCAAATAGTCGCGTATGCCCTGTATATTTGAACTATTGGTTTCCTGTTTATCGAGATATTTTCCTAACCTAACTAAACGTGATATATAGGCATGTGATTTATTTTCTTTTGCTAATATTCTGCTTAAAGTTTAGTACACGGCGTAGAATCTGTTGAAGGGAAAAAAACATTTCTTTTCCAGATACTCTGTGTCAGAACAACTTGGCAATGAAGCAGCAGTTTAATACCCTCGTCATGTGGCAAAATGAGTTGCTCAGGGTTCACAAGAATCACAAGGAAAAGTTTACTGAGACCAAGGAGCTAGTTCTGAAGGTATAATTAATACCATTAATAAAATTCTTCACATTCTTTTAAACTTTTTTTTTCGTTTTGCAACCATGTAAAATGAACTTTCTATTCCATATCATTGATTTTATTCGTGTTTATTAATTTTTTGCTCGTGTGCGATTGATGAAGAAAATATCAATTAATATAATAAATTCTTCTCGGACTACTAACCATTTATGGTGGCTTAATGAAGAGAACACCAGTGTTCGGGGAACCGTCTTTGTTCCCTCATATTTGTGAGAGTAAATTTGCTTTCCCCTGACTAAATGTCCGACATTTTGATAATTTTCCACATAAAATATGGACAGATATGAACAAAATTACAGATTCCATACACTAATATAATATTTTTGTTGTTAGATGGATAGAGGTTTCACTGTATAATATTTTTGTTGTTGTATTTGTAGTTGAGAGCCGAGAATGCAGAATTAAAGAATATTTTGGAAGCGTACAAGAAGGCAGGATCGGCAGTCCCAAGTGCTGCAGAGACAGAGGTAAAAATCATATTTCTGGAGAAAAATTAGCATATAAATACTTTGTCCTCTGGAACGGTCCTACCTGATGATGGAGGTCGCAAACTTCTCCAAAGCATCCCAGAAGACAACCATTTTCAGTCCCGCTGGAATAGTATCTTAAAAATGTCAGCCACACTTTGTGTTTCGTAATTATTCCGTCTGTGCAGTTAATGCCGAAGAACATTTCATTGGACTTTGATAATTGATAAATGACATAAATTTAACACAGAATGATATGATACTGTAATACGGCGACATTTATTATTTTTTATCGTTATAGTTGATGATGGAAAATGCAGAACTGAAAGGTAAAATTGCCGAGCTTCAACAGAAACTGTCGACTCCAGTTCCAAGGAAAGATCAGCTTTACATCGCACCTTCCAGCAAGAAAGAACAAGAGTTGAGCGCTCTGCTGGAACAGGTCAACAGGCAGCTGGAGATCGCGGAGCGTGCAAGGCGCCAGCTGACCGTGGATGTGGAACGGGTGACCGCACAGAGAACGCGGCTTGAACGGGACATGATAGCGCAGAAGACTGAAATGGAGGAACAGAAGGAACAGCTTCAGAAATTACAGAAAGAGAAACAAGAACTAGAACAGAAAATAACACTCTTGATGGAGCAGGTGAGTGTTTTCGCTAGTAACTTTGATTTACGGTGAACGTTCCCCTTGTCTTACATTTGACTACTCCGTACACTGAATAGTTCGGATGATATTTTGTTACTTCCCAGAAACTAAAAATTTCCAGTATCGAGATGCAAGTTCAAATCGTTTGTGAAACGCTGCGAAGGTTTTTGCATAGAATAATTAATAATCTGATATCCTGTAAATTGATTTACATTTTCTTCAATGTCATGGTGGGTTCTGAATTTCTTATTCATAATTGTTACTGATAATTCAAAAGTTTTTTCGCCGAGGCAAGTCGAGTTCCCGCGTTTTTACATTCAGTGAGTTAGTGATTTTCAGTTTTTTAAACTGTATTCACGTTTTAGAGTAAATGAAACCGGTATCTCATTTCTTACGAACTTGGTTTTTTGTAAACTAATTATTTGGGGGGAAATGTGCATACAAAATTTTTTGTGGTGAAACCCTTTTGAAAACAACCACTAAGAAGATCAAGAAGGAGATTGGATGATCTTAGGGAGATAGGTTATGAGGATTGAAGGTAGATCAGGTCCAGATCCAGTGGCAGAATTTGGTATTATCAGTATTGGACCTTGAGTTCTGCTGCGAGAGTTAATTATTAACAGTTTTTTATTATAATACCACCAGCAGAAACTTCATGATTATGTGCTGATAAAACATGAGGAGCAGCAGCAGGGTTCGTTGTCACCAATCGGAGTCCAGGAGTCCAATTCACAAGAAATTCAGAGTCTTGTGTTACAATTGGAAGAGCAACAAACTCTCGTTAGTACCTTGACACATCAACTGAAGGAAGAGAGATTTAAGGTGAGACCACGCAGAGCAGTGACATGAAAATGTACAGTCTGAACTTGAAATATCTAATGGTGATGATAATTATTTAAGTCATTGTATAATTTGGTGGCTGCATCTTTCTGTCATTGGAAGTAGCGGAATCTCTCTTTTATCGTAAAAATATTTCTTCCTCTTACTTTTGGGCAGAATCCAGGAAGGTCGTTAAATCTAGAGCTTTAGGTTTTAGGCACAAGACAGTTTTAATTCTTTTAAAGAATATCATTCTCAAATTTCCTTGTGTTGCTCAAAATTGGAAATTAGCTAAAAAATTTTTTTATCTCTGTGGGGGTTCAGCCTGTGGCAGAATCCCTAAATTGGTGTAATGAGTTCAATGGAATCCCCATTTAGTGTTCCTGATATAAAGGCTTCCCCAATTCAGCACTGGTCTCACACTAATTATTTTTGCGTAAATGTTTGCCATTTAAAATTTCTTCAAGTCTAGTATTTCTATTCAATGTCCCCTGAAGAAATATCAAGTACTGATTTAACTGTACATTTTTAATTGAAGTGGTTACTCTAGATAACTTCAGTGTTTTTATTTGATCCTGGAACACGCACACGAAGTTTGTAAACATACTTCTGACTCACCCTATATATATATGAACTGTGTGTTGTTAGCTGGCAGCAGCATTAACAGCTGAAAAGCAAACGCCATCCACTGTCAGTGATCAGGCATCACATACACACGACTTTAGTGGCTGTGAAGAAATGCTGGAACACATCAATAGCTGCCTGGATGAGGAGGCTGAGAGGTCTGTATCACTGGCATATTTAGGAGTCAGACGTGATGGAATTCTGGATTAGCATCTTGGCTCCCAAATATTTTTTCCCAGATATAAATTTGATTCTATAACCCACAGAAAAATTCAGAATTCTTAGTGTATGAACTGTGTGACACCCTGGTGGCTTTCACAGACCTTCTGCGTCTTTTCTGTCCACAGGTGTGTTGTTAGAAATGTATTATTTTACTCTAATGAAGACTGAACCTCCGTATAACAATATATTCCTGTGACCACCAGTGTCTCTCGCAGAACTGAAATTCTCAAGAGACCCACTGGTGACCCTCATGTAGAAAATGGCTGGTCTTAAAAAACTACAGCATGTAACAAATATAAATAAGTTTAAAAAATGATTCTGGTGAAATTACGGAGGACACGTGCCATCGAGTGATGACGAACGTAGCTGCTCATGTTTTTTGAAGTTGCATGACGGATTGGTGGTCATATCGAGCATGTAATCCATAAAGGATAAATCTCCATGAATTGTTCTTTGTGTTCATAGATATATATGTACTGTTATACGAATATTAGGAGCCGGGATAGCTCAGTCAGTATAGTGACTGTCTAAGGGCTGGGCGATCGGGGTTCGATCTCCGACAGGGGCAGAGGATTTTTCCTCTAGCCTCTGCGTCCAGACCAGCTCTGGGGTCCACCCAGCCTCCTATCCAATCTGTACCGGGATCCTTTCCCGGGGGTAAAGCAAGGCCGGGGCGTGATGCTGACCACTCACCCCCATCTAGTGCCGAGGTCAAAAAAGAGTAGGAGCTATACCTCCGCTCCCCCCAAACCACCTACATGGCGTGTAGTGGGGCAGCTTTACTTTTTTTTTATATGAATATTATAGTTTTATTTAAACTTTCAAATGGGTATCATTTTGTGTGCCAGCCTGTATTTGTCATACATACCTTATTTGTACATTATCTATTTGAATGTTAATGTAGGTCCAGTGACGTAGACACTTGGCTCCAGGTGGAATCTGATAGCACGAACCATTGTAAGGGGAAACGGGATGCTTATATGAAGATTGTAAATATATTTGAGGCTGAAGTTCAGGAACTGAAGAACCTGGTGATTCAGGAGAGAGCCTCTAATGAGGTTTGGAAGTACGTATCATCGTTTTAATGCAAGAAAATACTTTGCTGTTTGTCCCTACTGTATCTTCAGTTATTACTGTACATTTTTAGTTTTGGGATTGCATTACTAAGCAGTGCTACATCGGTGCCTGTAAAGTAGGTCAGTTATTACGTTATTTAGTGATGCTGTTTTAACTATGTATGTGAGAGCGTCAAATGATAATGGAAGGTGATTATGAATACAAAACAGTTAGCTGTATGGAAGGGAACAGACGTGGTATCTTTTGAGATGCCCAAGTATTCATTTAGCGGATAACTGCAAAACCTCAATAAGGTAGCTTGAAACTAGGCAAGATTCTAATCGGGTATTTTTAAAATACGGGTCTAGAGCATTGCGAACGCGCAGCCTACTAAACGGATGAACTAATATCGAGAATTTATGAGCATAATGAATTAACACCGTCATAGAAGGATATCTTCAGTGTAGAATTTTATGCATATATATGTTTGAGGAGTGGCATATATCTGCTTTGGAATTAAGTGATGAACATTTGTTTCATACTGTAAACCAAATTTGAATACACAGTGATATTGAATATTTAAATGAAACCCTTTGTGATTTTCATCTGTATACCAAAAATTCACTGTAGTGGTTGGCACCTCTGCTTCAGATTCAGAAGATTTCATGTTCAAATCTTGGTCTGGATGTCATGTAACACGATGGGTTTTTCGTGATTGTACTTGGCAAGTGCTTTGAAAGTCACTGTGTGTAGATGGAAACCCTCTTCATCCTTATTTAGTTCACAAGGGGTTGTTAAAATAAACTTTTTATATTTCATGTATGTACCCTCTTCTCCCATAGTGGCTTCTTTCTTTCTATAAATTTTTATACATTTCCGCAAAGTATAATTTTATTATGCCTTTTTTTGATTTGTGTGTAGGAAGAACCTAGAGGAGGAAGAGGAGAAGTTCAGAAACCTTGACTCAGACTACCAGAAACTTGTAAAAGAGTTGCACAGCTTCCATGAAGAGCAAAAGGATAAGGATCGTCATAATCTCGCATACTATGAGGTACAGGCACGAGGCTTTACTGAGAAGATAGACGGCATGACGGCACAGCTCCTCAACAAAGACGAAGCACTCCTACAGAAAGACAAAGAAATGTCTCAGATGAAGGAAAGCATGAAGAAACTTGAGCTGGAGAACGAAGCAATCACAATTCTCAAAGCACAGGTATAATCACGGTAGTGAACTGGAATTTAACCAGAAAGTGTCGAGTGCCTCGCGCTCTTAACAACTTATGCTATTGTTTGTATGTGTGTGTGGGGCGTGAAGTGTCATCCTATAGGAATTTACACTAAAAGTTATTTGGTGAATTTAATTTTGGTAAATATTGGTACAGTATGACTATTACATGGCTAGGGAGGCCCTACCAGTAGCTATGCTTCCGCCACTGAGGTACTCAAGCCCCACCACCACGACAAGGCGCAGGTACCATTAAGTGGGGAGGTTTTTATGTTGCTCATAAGAATTACAATTGGTCGAAGGATTGTATCATATTTAAAAATAATTTTATATATGGACATTGTCTTCCTGTTACTTTGAGAAGTAGAGAAACTGCCATGAAAATTTAAGAGGTTTTGCAAGACGAAGTTGTAGCAGTTACAGTATTTATATTTTCTCCCAAACTGAAATCGACATAGAATTATTTTTGGAGAAGTCTGGTCATGTCATCTGTTAAAAAAAGAAAATGTTGCACGTGGCTATTTCATTTGGACTGTCTCTGTCATCCACGTGTATAATCTCCAAGAGTACGCAACACGTTTAGTGAGTTTTCTGAAAAATTATCTCTGAAAAGATTGCAAAATACGTTATCAACTCAGTGGAAATATGAAGTCCTCTATAAAGGTGGAAAAACACTAATTCAGGGAAGAATTGTGGTAATTATTTAAATTATAGTGGTAGCAGTGGTGGTCCATTACAACAAAATACATTTTAAGGGATTTATTTCAGGTTGAAGTTTATCAGTCCGACTTTAATGCAGAACGAGAGGCTCGTGAAAACCTTGCAGGGGAGAAGGAGAGACTAGCAGAAGATCTGCGACATCTCCAGTGCCGTAACCAGCAACTGTTGGATGAATTGGAGATGTACCAGCAGACCCAATTTGAGCAGATGCAGAGACAGGGAGTTCCATCGGCACCAACGTAATTACTTCTGACTAGTTCAGTTCTTGAATCTGAATTACCAGGCTTGAAAATGCGATATGTTTCTGAGAATTCTCTTGCAGAAGTGATGATATCAGTTTTGGGTTGTAGACTCCCTTACATAACACAGTTTAACTTCGTGTTCCGAGATGGATACCTGTATAACCATTTAAGACTGACATCTTGTTTAGGAATATATAAACTTTTACGTTTTTAACTGAAACAAAAACGTTTAAACTGTACTTTAACTACAGGGTGGGTGGGAAGTAAGTAGGCATTGAGAAATGGTTATAACCTCTATATTTCCAATGCAAAGATAATTATTTAATGCCTACTTACTTCCCACCCACCCTGTACTCTTAGGAATATTTTCCATCTATGAGATGTAAATGAGGATAATTAAAAATTATTTCTCAACTTGCTTTTCACTTCTTTCTAAATACTTTGAATGGAAAATTATGAAAACTTTTATTGCATTTTGGTCAATATTTGGATTGGGAGGTGAAGCTGAGGATTGAAGTGGAAATGCTGATTGGCATGGGAATCATAAGTGCATATTGAGAACACAGTATAACTCCACTCTTAAGTAAGCAACAGCATAAACAAAAGTGTTCAATCTTGAATATTTGGATTAATAATTGAATTGGTCGCTGCAGCGTCGCAAGTGGTTGGAACACGATAGCGACCCCAGGACGAGCGAAACTTCAGAGACCGGCTGGGTCCTCTCCAGGCAGGATCTCACCTGGAAGACCTACAGCTCCTCAGCACCAACAGCAGCCTCTTCCACCAGCAGAACAGAATGATAGACCATTCAGGGTGAGCGTGACTTATTCAGTTGTTCTCTCTCAAAGTCTTGATAAGCATTGACAAATATGCAGTTATGCAGACCGTTAGAATCTGTCGTACTTACGTTGGCATTAGTTAAAAAAGTCCTTTGTTCTGTATTCAAGAAATAGGAATTTGTTTTTGACTGTGTGTGTCTTGCAGGTATATGACGAGGAGGTCCCGCCACCAAAGCACTATTCTTGTCCCGTGTGTAACATGGAATTTCTTCAGGTGGACCTCCTAGAGTACCACGTAGATACTTGTCTCGAATGACGTAGCCAGACGTAAGGTACAGTTCATCCGATGTACTTTTATCTCTTAATGAACGTGTAAAACAACGGGTGAGGGAGGGGAAAGATTATTTGCAGACAGTTCACGGTACAGTAAATGAACACATTTTAAATTTTCAAAACCCAGAAGGGACTTTCTGGACACACTGTATGTTACTAGAACATAGCGATTATGGTAAAATTGCATGTTTCAGGTTTATCCTAAGAAAGAGGACGAGTACTACTGTCCGAAGTGCGGCACGCGTTTCTTCTCACTGCGGCCCTTGGAACATCACGTCGAGGAATGTTTGAACCTGCTAACTTAACGTCAGGTACCTGTGACATTTGAAGTGATTACCCGCACATGTATGATAATCAAAACACATTATTTTCATAATATGTTGCTCGTTACTAATCATATACATAGGAAAAGTATATTTTTATGAGTAACGAACATTATCACTAGTGCCAATTTGACTCATGTCGCGACTGGTAGTACCAGACGGCTTTATACCGTAAAACACACTTGATCATTCGGACGTTAATATCGTTACTATTTTACTTAGCCGTGAGACTTTGGCTTCAGTAGTTTGTAATTTTTCTGGTTTATTCGAAGACTTTTGTCAAAATTTATGTGCGTCTGAGCTGATTTTAAAAAATGATGATTAGGCGCGGGTCGTTGGAATGAATCACGTCTGTGACTACAACAGTTATTATGCGTTAATTTTGTATGTGCCATTATCCGTGATTCAGTCCGTTTGGACTGTACTTTTATAGTTCAAGTTATTGCTCATTAGCCGCTTTCTTAGCGTGGATTGGTATTTTTATTTTAATATATATATGAAAGTAATTGAATAGCATATTGAGAATTAAGTACCGTTGAGGGAGTCTGAATTTTTTTGATCAGACGTCATATATGAACTTCTTTATGAAAATACTGTATTTTATCCAAGTTAAATAATTACCAGAATGTTACCACTAGTTAATGTAAGTGTTTTAGCTTTCGCTTAATTTCTCCTAGAACAATTAGAAAAGGAGGACGTTGAGGTAGATCTCGAGTTCTGAAGGCTTGGGTCAGTGGTCCCCAACCTTTTTGTGCCTACGGGGACATCTGAGAGTTTATGGGATCGTGGCGGGCACCAACCAATTAACAAAGCCAAATTTTCTTTTCTTTGGACAAATAAGATATGGACACCAAATAATACGCAAAACAACACAACGTTTCATGATACAAGAAACCATGCAATCAAAAATACGTAGTTTTATAAGTACAATTATTATTACTCAAGTGAGAAGTTAGTGTGATGTTTGGCACTGCATTTCATCAGCCAGTTTTTCAAGTTTGGGAGTGTAGGATGATGTTGCTGCTCGCAAATGATCGTCAAGATGGTCGTCAGTAAGTCGAGATCTGCGCTTTGATTTTATAATGTTCGTGGTTGAACGGCCTTCATTATTCAGTATAACCTCTTTCCGTAACAACACGGGCATCCAAAAAGAGCCTTGGCGGGCACCGTGTTGGGGACCACTGACATGGAGTAAAGACATTACATTACTTGAGTGAATCTCCTCCGGATTGAACATAAGTTGGGGCCCTCAGGGCACAGGATGCGTGTTTTCCTTCAGTTGATATCGTAAATAACAATTTCAGTAGAAAATATAATTGTTCTCTGTTAAATACATAACTAAATATATCTTTATTGTTTGTTCAATTTGTAACTTTTTATTGGTGACTGATTGAAGTAGGGGCTTCGTTTTGCGTGACTGGAAGATCGCACGTAAGTCAGTAATCTCAGAAACAAGTGCGCTAGAGCGATGAATTTAAGATTTATCATCGTGAAAGATAAAAATGATCAGGAGTTACACAGCGAGGCTTCAAACTTGGTTCAGTGACAAACTCCTTGAAATGCGATATTTTACGAGGGCGTTTCAAAAAGTAACAGTAAAATTAAATATTTTGAGATATATAATTTAATCAGAGATACAAATGATTGTCATTTTTCTGCATGATCGCCCTCGTTTTCAATACACTTCTCGCGCCGTTGTACCAACTTCTTTATTCCATCAGAAAAAAATGTTTTTGGTTGTGCCTTCAGCCAGGAACGCACCGCTTCTTTGACCTCGTCATCACTCCCAAAGCGTCCTTCAGGGGTCCAAACACATGATAATCAGAGGGAGCAAGGTCAGGGCTGTGTGGGAGATGCTGTAAGATCTGAAATCTCAATCTCTGATCGGTGTCGAGAGTCACGGCAGCCGTGGACGACCAAAGCATCGGTCATCACGGATTAATGTTTGCCCATTTTTAAACGCGCCTACCCACTCGCACACTCTTCTCTCGCCAATGCAGGCATCTCCATACTGTTGTAGCATTCTTCTATGAATTTCGCACCCGCACTGATGATTCCTCGCTGCTCAGTGCAAACAGCTAAGGGCACCGCCATTTTGTATATGCATCCCTTTCAATTAAGCACGCGGTGTCAAAACCTTCTCTAAGAATGTATCTTCCCTGCGCGGGAGTTTGAAATGTGAAATATCGTCAATTTCCTGTTACTTTTTGAAACGCCCTCGTACTTTCACAAATGTTATCCAGGACGGAGTATTTCTGGAAGTTTTCACCTCTCCACGTACCAGACTAGTCGTTTCGCGTGTCTCAGCATGCCGAGACTGACGCGAGAAATTTTTATGAAGAAAGTTCAGTTTTTGTCTGCGAGTAGTTTTCTTTTGCTAGAAAGCAGAAT